ATCTATTAGCAGTTGTCTGTAGTCTCTCAAGCCAATAAAAAAATAAAACTTTGGTGAGGGTGCTACTAATAATGTTCTGACGAGAAAAATCATCAAATTACTTCTCCTGCCCAGGGTGGGACGAGAGGGAGTGTCAGGCTCTTACTGTTTAAAAACCCCCCGTTCCTTCTTCTGGACTAGGCCAAGGGCCGCGGTGATTTATTGCGCTTGCCCCGGCTGAACATTAGCCCTATAGGGCCCCGTCTGTGAAGGTCTCTTGCCTCTTATAGGCGCACTTGGAACACGACGCGCGTTACGCTCGGGTCTGGTTCTGGTCGGGCGGCGAGCTACTCTTACTCGCCATCCAAAGATCCGCGTTTGTAGTGGCCGAAGATAATCTCTTGATATCCGGCGCCCGGAGTGTCGCCTACTGCGGCGCTAGTATCCTTCTTTGTAAGAATAACTGCTTCACAGAAAGAGGAGACGACTTCCCAGTTCCTCTCGCCCCAGAAAGTGAGAAAACGTAATAGATGATCTCACCTCAAAAAAAGGTAAGGTAATATTTCAAGTAAGTAGTAGATTACTTAATGATTAAACACAGTTCGAGCCGGTACCGGCGTCGTGAACTTGGCATCTATTATCAGCAGATATTGCAAACTCACCGTGAAAACCAAGTTTGTTGACCTCGTCTCCGGTCCAACCTTACAAAATATTCCATTGAACACCTCCAGTCTAGTGGTTATTAATAAAACTCTTGAGAACAAAGTCTACTATTAAAATTCGAAAATATTATTTTGAGATTTTCGATAATTTAATTATCTCGCTTTCTTTTGCAAGCAGTAGGACTTAAAGTACAACAAAACATCATTGTACTTATGTTTTAACAGTTTTCTCTCATTGAGAAAACAGTGAATTAATAAAACGTTTCTTATGCTGAACAAACTATTAAAAAATAAAAACGTATGTCACAGCGCAAAATGCCAGTGTTCAGCTTAATGCTGTGTTGCCATTTTTAAATACTAGCCATGTATTGTGATGGTATCTAACTGATCGTTACTTACTGAGTAAACTGGCAATCTTGACGTGGTTCTGATATGTGCATTTATTTAAAAAATTACGTGTTTTGTTTATCTTTGTGCATTTTTTTCGTATATCTTTTACAATTATCGTAATAATTCAAATAGCCAATACAAGTGTTGTCAGTACAAAAAAGAAAAAAAAAACAACTAACTGTTTATAATTGACGGATAAACAATTATTCCGTGTTGTTAATTTGAACGTTGAAGTTGGATAATTTGTTCTGTTTTCCTTATATTAAATATTTGTAGTGATATCCTTGAAATGAGTAATAGGGTTGGCAGTTAACACGTATTATAGGTCAGTTTTAATAATAATCTAAACAGAACGTCGTGCGTCTTAGAAAGCTATCAGACCAACACACATAGTTGAGGCTCAATAACACCAATATTCAGCCAGGGTTGCGGGTGAAAGAGTAACCATGTACCACGCCGCCGGCCTGGGGTAGGAGAAAGAACGGGGTGGTATTTAGTCAGCAAGAATCTGACACTCTCCCCACCCCTTACAGGGCCAGAGAAGTCATTTAGGTAATAATTATTATTTTCCCTCCAAAAAGGAAAAGTAAGCAATACTGTGTCTTACAACTAGTCAAATACACTACTTATTTATAAATTTTACTTTGGGTTTTGTTTTAAATGGCATGATAAATTAATAAGTACTAACTCTAAGTTATTTTTAATATTTTTTCCCGTGAGTAATACGAAAACGAAGTATACTTATTATGCAATCAAATGAAGCAAGACAAGTGCTAATAATTTTAAGTTGAAATAATTATTATTTGTCAGAAGAAACTGGCTAATTGTGCTGACAATACAGTTTTATTGAGATTGGCCCTACAATACGGTGCAAAGTTCAACTACTAACTACTAATACTTAGTTAACATGGACATTATTATTGAGTGTATTATTTCATGGAGATTATTTTAAATATGGGGCACAGATAGCCAGTATCTAATCTGCTTTGTTAAGTACAAAAATATATGTAGTTCGTTTATCTAAACAAACCTATACTTATGTAGATAGGAGGAATGTAGCGGCAACAATGTGGAATAGAATTTTTAGAAAATGTCTAGTTCTTCCTTTTTTGTTCTTTATTAAAAATGGTTCGGTTGTTTCGAATTTAGAATGTATATCTTTATAAACGTAGCTAGCTACATAATATCCTTCTCATGTTTCTATTATTATAATGAATTACTTTTGATTATTAGGAAACTTATTTTCTATTAAGTGTGAGTTACCTACTTAAAATGCCATGTTATTATAGTTAATTTTAACTAATATTCAACGTTATAAAAAACGTTACCCTATACCTACTAGGATTTTCTCATGTGTCGTGGGTGCGTTTGCAATCATACAAATTTACATAGACTAGCCACCCAGACCCAAAACAAAAAATTGTGGATCACACAAGGTATTACTCCATGTGGGAATCGAAACTGCGGCACGTCGCACAGAAACTAGTTGCCCAGCCACTGCGCCAACCGTGCAGTTAAATTACTTATAAGTTTTTTTATGGTATAAGTCGGCAACCGAGCAGTCGGATTACCTGATGGTAAGCAATTGGCGCCGCCCATGGACACCCGCAACACCAAAGGAGTTACGAGTGCGTTGCCGGCCTTTTTGGGGATAGGGGTTGCGGATATAAGGATCGGGAAGGGATAGGGGAAGGGGCGGTATTCTGTGAGGCCGTAGTATCACTCCGGTCGAGCCGACCCATTCGTGCAGAAGCTTGGCTCTCCCACACTTGCGAGAAGTAGTAGTTTTCCTTTAGTTCGTCTTTCGTTGACAAAGGTAACATTGTCTTATGCCTCCCTGTTATATAACTTGTGAAATCACTCATAGATACATAATACATACTCAGGCTGCGTGTCTCCTTCGAAGTAGGAATGTTATCTAAGACAGCGGCCTTTGTACCGATACAAAGTCCAATATTCGATATGATTGGACTTTACACTGCACTAAAAATAAATTAGTAACAGGTTATCTAGCTGACCTTACGAGCCATATTCGCGTGATACTTAAAAATATTATACAAACTATGTACCATGGAGTTTCGCGAGTGTGAGTGTGTTCGAAATATGAAATTAAATTTGTTTTTAATTATGCTGTACAATATTCTATAGAATATTAGGCGTATATGATAAACTGTGTATGAATGATAATAAGTTATGGCACTAGCTTTCGCTCGCGGATTTGTCCGCGTGGTATGTATGTTAATAAAAAGTAGCTTATATCTTAATCCAGGGTATCACCTACCTACATTTAAAATTTCAACTAAACCGGTCCAGTCATTTTGCATGAAAGAATAACGAACATATGTACATCCATTAATTCTGACAAACTTACATGTATATTATTAAATGTAAGTTTGTCGGAAATTTATAGGATTATTAATCAGACGATTATTAATTTGTCTAGTAAATAGTCTTAGTTCCGAATTCCAATTAGATTTTTATTTAATTATAAAGTAATATAAATGACCTTACCTATCATATAAGTTCTAAATGTACAAACAAACATATTCACATACTGTATGTCGCCGTACAATATGTCGTCGTGGGCAATAAAACATTTGTCTATATTTCTTGTTTGACGGTAACATAATAGCATTGATTTAAAGAATGAAGTGTGTTACTGGCGCGTGTGCGGTGCAGACGTGTGCTCTCCATAAACAACGCATTTTTACATAATCATAGTAATATTGTGAATGTGTGTGTGTGTGTGACCTTGACTCTACCCATTATGGTAATGTCTTGGATTATATAATATTCAGGATATGTGTAACTCACTTTAACAGCTAAACTGACTTACTATTTCTATGATCGATTGTTAACAATAAATTAGTTCCGAAGTGAGCGATTATTTCAATGATTCCAATTGTGATTGGAACGTATTTGTTTGTCTGTCTATTAGGTACGTGTAAATAAATAACATTACCTCGTTTTTTTTCACTATAGCTCATAGTTAAATTTAGATATTATCTAAGCCAATTTGCGTTGTGTAATATGTTTATTAAGTAGTATTTTATGCCCTATCCAGTGTTAGTTAGTTCCACATAGCTTAGAACGCGTTACCTGTGCGATTTGCGAGCGTTCCCTTGACATATCGATCCCTCGCGATGTATTATTGATGCGATTAGTACGGGGACGGAGATTTCCCCTGCGTGGGTGGCGGCCGACTGGTCGACTGTCGGGGATAACTTCTACGAAATAATAGCTAGGTACCTATTATACGATAAAAGTTACTGTCGACTTGCGTTGAACATAGAAGTTGATACTCGTAATATCGATATCACATGTTAAAACAAATGCCAACGTTTTGAACTCTGAATAAATTACGCGATACCCGATCTGTGTAGGTTTAAAAATAAGACTTTAACATTTTTTTTTAATCCGGGGTTGCGTGGTAAGTACAATGAGGCAACGCCAACTCGGCCCAGAGCAGGAGAAGGAACAGAGGGGTTTTTAGTCAGTAAGAGTTTTTTGATGTAAGATTACTAGTCTAATAATGGAGTTTGGATAAAGCGGTCAATATTTCCTTATTGCACATGTAAATCAATTGTATTACTAAGCTTGGATTATGATAGCAGACGATTACGCTGATTACCTCGATAGATTACGATTTGTACTTAGTAAACCATAAAATGTATGACTACGTATAAACATATGTGTATTAGGTTTGTTAGGTAGTTACATGTAAAGGTATTTCATTGCTGTCAAATTTTCTTCTTGTTCTTATATATAAAAAGTTAATTGCTTTGTTAGTCTCGCTAAAACTCAAAAACAGCTGGTCCGTTTTGGATAAATTTGGCCTTAAAATATTTGACAGACCAGGAAATTTTTAAAAGAACAAATATTAAGTTATAGGAATTTGAAGCGTTACGGAGTTCGCCGGGTCAGCTAGTTTTGAATGAAGAATGAGTGACATTGGTCGATATTGTTTACAAACTTCAAAAAAATGTTTAGAATACTAAAATGAGCTGTTTGGTACTACCTGCATACTAGATACTCGTGTAGATACAGTATCGTGACATAATACTTTGATATGTTATCGCGAACAGCTGTGATACATACCTATAGATAAATTAGTCAAAGAGCAAAGTTCTTGCAAATAGTACGTGTGATTCATTTGTATTAATATTCAGTTCCTTTACAGAATTCATAATGAGAAGTGTAGTGGACTGTAGACGGTGAAGGTGTGAATATGGATGGTTGAGTGTGATCCAGTGTAGCGTTGTAGTGAGCTAAAACAAACAGTGCAGTGATGTCAGTCTTCTGTGTCAAGTGGTTGGTGCTATGGTCGCTATGGGCTGCTCGCCTGGTCCGCCAACCCACAGACACGCTGCAGGTCAGCAATGGCCCTGTGAGGGGCAGCATATCCCCTGACGGCACCTTCAAGAGCTACCTCGCCATACCCTATGCTACCGTTCCACATCGGTTTCAGGTCAGTGCGCATGTGCCATTGAATGATTACTTTTTTTAAACTATTTCACGACACTTATTATTTTACTATCTGCATGCCACTTTATAGGCCATTTGTATCTACTATGTAGGGTCAAGTCTTCGTGATCCTACGTGAATAGACTGCACGGCGGGCGCGGTGGTTGGGCAACTGGCTGGCGCGCAACGTGTCGCGGGTTCGATTCCCACACAGAATTCCGTTCACGGAGTTCGGGTTCGGGATTGATATTTATGTGAAATTGTATCTTTGTAAACGCCCCTACAAAACAGGAGAATATCCTTGTGTCGGGCAATTTCAGTAAAATTTTGTAGTAATATAGTTTAACAGCATGAGCTCATTAATATTTTGCAGGCTCCAGGTCCAGAACCGACGTGGGAGAGTACTTATGAAGCGGTGAATGAAAACGTGCGATGTACGCAGAGCGTCGAGGACTCCTTCACGGTCGGTACTGCTGACTGCCTCTCCCTGAACGTGTTCACTCCCATCGACGCCAGCCCTGACTCCAACCTGCCAGTCATGACGTTCATCCACGGAGGAGGGTACTTCAAAGGCTCAGGAAACATGATCTTCTACGGCCCGAGGTACTTGGTACCCAAAGGTGTAATCCTTGTCACGATCAACTACAGGCTGAATATACAAGGCTTTCTCTGTCTTCGCATCAAAGAAAACCCGGGCAATGCAGCTATGAAGGACCAGGTTGCTGCACTTCGGTGGGTGCGAAGGAATATTAAAAAGTTTGGGGGCGATCCCGATAACGTCACAATTTTCGGGGAGAGCGCTGGAGCTGCGTCCGTCTCCTTCCATCTCTACTCTCCAATGTCGAAGGGACTTTTCCACAAAGCCATTACTCAGAGTGGGTCGGCCTTGGCTGCGTGGGCGTATCAGTACAAACCAGTGTACCTGGCCAGTTTACTGGCTAAGGTGATGCTGTATGAGTCGCAGGATCCACACGAGCTGTACAAGTTCTTCATGACAAAGTCTGACGACGAGCTTATCTTGACCCGGGTACCGAGGGCAGAGGGTAATACTGTCATCTCTGAAATATTGTACACGCCATGTGCTGAAATACCAATAGAAGGGGAAGAAGCATTTCTGTCAGAGCCGCCATTCGAGCTGCTGGAGAAAGGAGCGTACAATAAAGTCCCCGTCATGATAGGTACTAATAATGAAGAAGGTTTGCTGATCATCAGTATGGATAACAGCACAATGATACCTCGGCTGGAATTTGAAAAGTCTCTGCCAAAGAATTTAGAAATCCCAGACAAAAAGACTAAACAAGAGGTTGCAGCAAAATTGCAAAAAATGTACATGGAAGGAGATGATATTTCGATGGATTCAATAGTGAAAATATCGAGATGGTATGGTGAGCCGAATTTGAACTATCCTTCGTTGGCTGAGACGGAGATGCTGCTAAAGTCGTCCGCTCAGCCAGTGTACAACTACTTATTCCAGTACTCGGGCTGGAGGAACATCCCCAAGATATTTTTGCCAAAACAGCTGAAGGCGGCAGACGGTGCTACTCACGCAGACGATATCTTCTACATGTTCTCACACGAGATTTTTGCTTCGAATTTCGAGATGAAAATGATAGATCGCGTGACTACAATGTGGACAAACTTCGCTAAGTATGGGTAAGTACTCGTGTGTAATTATTGTTTGCGTGCGATTGAATGAATGACACAGCACAACGCAAGATCTTGCTTCTTGCAACCTTGCTGTTTCTTTGACGGCAAGGCAAAATAAAATAAACAAAGGTTTATTTTTTTTAAATGTTAAAAATGCAGAGTTCAATATGACGAACTACTTACAGTGACAAAGTACGAACCAATTTTTTTACGGGATAGGTCGGCAAAAGAGCAGACTGAATATCTGATGGTAAGCAATCGGCGTCGCCCACACCTGCAACACCAAAGGAGTTACGAGTGCGTTGCCGGCCTTTTCGGGATAAGGGTGAAGAATTGGAAAGGGGTGGGGAGGGATTATAACTACAACTAATCAAAGTAACATAGGACAACAGTATTTATCATAATAAAAAATATGTATAAACATACCTATAAAAAATAAAAAAAATATATGCGTGAACATTTATAAATTAATAATTAAGTTACATGGGTGTATTATGGAGTAATTATTTTAGATATTTTAGATAGGAGGAGTATATAACAAATGGGATTCGTTTTCAATGGACTCGAATATTTTTGTTTTTAAATACGTTAATGGTGTCGTGGAATATATCGATTTCTAGTACAATACTTGCGATTTCGTTGAATTGCCTGCTAATTATGTTGATTATTTACAGGGATCCCACTCCAGAAGGTTCCAGCCTTCCCATAAAATGGTTGAGGACAAACAGTACTACTCCTACATCCCTGGTCATAGACGAGGAGTTTCACACCGCCCCGCTGTGGTACAACAACCGGATCATCTATCTAAGGGAGCTGTACTCCAAGTTTAGAAGAAAAGATACCATTATTTTACAATAGTTTAGTTAGTATGTCAATTGTTATTTAATCTTAAGTTTATAGGGACTTTTTAATTGGTATGTTGCCAACCTAGTCATTTTTGTTTAGTGCAAACTTAGCTACAAGAATTTACAAAAGTTGGTTGTGATTCAAGTATTGGGGATATTAATTATAAGTTTGTATGAGTGTGTATTTGAAGAAAGCAAATGCAAAGAAAGCGGGAGATGATTAGCAGAAGCCATAGTAGAATTAGTTCCCCGCCGACGAGCCGAACTACCGCCATTTGCCACAACTAAGGCTCCTTTATCTATTGACCTCTGCTCGTAAACTGAAGGGACACTCGAGTGCATTCTCTAATTAGGGCAGCCAGGACCTTCCGAGGGTCGACCAAGTGGAACTTTGAACATTCCCCGACCAGGAATTATTTATTTTATTGTCGGAATGAAAAGTCACCGATGCGTTGAGAATTCCTTCAGCGATTGTCTTGGGCTTTCATTAATTTTAAAACTCCATTAAGCAATGGGTTCCTTGAAAATGTTCATGTGCATTGATATTGTTCAGCGAACTGATTTCAAAAATAAAATCGTTTGCCGATAAACTGTGTTTGAATACTCTGTTTGTGCCTGCATTAATCCCGACTGAGAGCGAATCGAGAGCTGCGTTTACAAGCGAAACATGAACCGGCCAGCACTGGGCACTCGGTAATCGGCAATCTTAAAACCGTAGGTACCAACGGAAACTAAATTTCCGGTATTTGAGAAAGTAAGCCGCTTACCGTGTCGGTCTCTTATTAAAGCTCGCTTGAATGGGGCTGGCCGAATGAATGAATGTTTGTGAAACTATCCGGCTTAATCTTGGACCCTTTCGTACACCCGCGCCCTCCACCCCGCGCCCCTCGCCCCGCCCCCTCGCCCTAAGCTGCTCTGTAAATACGCGAAAATCGTCCCGGAGACACATCGCCGTGTTTGCTATTGTTTGCTATTTAATGAGAAACCTTTTTAAAAAGTTAATGGGAATTTGGTGGCTTTATAGCTCCCGTAATCTGGGATTGCCTTGAGATCTGACAAGTTTGGTTGAGTTCACACGTTGCGCAGATTACAGGCTCCGGCGACTACGGAACCTTCGTTTACTCTCAAAACGTCTTGTAAAGAAAATTGCTAAAGAAAATCCGTAACTCATTTAGCAAGTTTATGAAACGCGGCCTTAATTCTCAACTTGTTTAGGTTTGTGTAAAATATTGCCGTGACGAGCTAGTTGGACATAATATTTTCATGACGAAAAAACAAGTTTAGTCTGCTAGAGGGAAAATATTTCGCTCTTATAAAGTTATCAAGTAATTTTATAAAGGTTAGCACTAGAGAGGACTAATTTTGTTCGTTATTTTTGTGTTTCGCAGACTGACTCATACAGGTCACGGATTTTGTTCAACTTGATTTTATTACTCTGAAAATATCCGGTAAGTATTTGATGTATTTATTTAATATAATATAAAAACACAGTTTACAACTTCGCAACATAAATATGACAGAGTGGTCTGATACTATCAATAGAGTTAAACTAGATCAGTGAACAACGGAAATAGTTTCCACAAAAATGCCTTAAAATGGAGCGTATCCCTGAAAATACCCCTAATTCCCGGTTCCGAGTACTGTTTACCATAATCCTGTGTTATCGGGTGAACACACACGAACATATTTGGCGGACCACTCCTCGGTAATGGTGCATCGATAGAGGGCGCCGTGTGCGCACAGCTTTATTTCCATCGTGACAGTTGGTAGGGGAAGAGGGGTCAGCTTTAGGTTATAATTTTCCATGCAGGTATTTAGATTTTCCATGAAGGTGGTAACACCAGAGTAGCCATCATCAATGAAACAAAAATCTGTGAACTAAAATGTACCCATACATGTACTCAAAGACTTCTGACGAAATAGGCTTGTCGTAAAATATTAACATTGAATCAAATAACGAAGGGAAACGAAAGGTGATATACCTTCCTACATACCGACGTACATAGGATTGTCGTCCCTACAAGAGCGGCCCCTTGCTGCCCAGCACTTGACACGATGAATAATTCTTCTCAGATATTTGGGAGTTGGTTTCAAACCCGATTTACCCCGTTTAGCATACAATAATAAGGAATGGGAGCCTCCATGGAACCTTTTAGCTTGCGGCGAGGTGGACAGCGATAGTGTGCGGCTGTTACTGTACGAGATACATGGGGCACTTGATGGGCAGGAATATACAATTCAGGGACTGCTCTGTTACATGAATTTGTTTATTTATGTATGGGGTTGATTTCCATCTTGGTTAGGTCGTATTTTTTTAATATTACAAAATAAACGTACCGGTACATGAGCTTGATTATTGTGGCACGCGCCACAGATGGGCCAGATGGTTCAGCAGCGGTTGTGTGGTATCGCGCCCCCGGCCTGGAGTAAGAAAATGAACAAGAGATTACAGAAGTAAGTCTGACTCTGCCTCTCGCCTTACCCTGGGCGAGAGAATTAATGATTCTCCCCACACAAAAAAACCTTGATTATTCAAATTTCGCTAAGTGTCACATGTTATATTCTTACTTTTTTACTATTATAATATGAAAAACTGAGCTCTAGTTTTGTTGACCCTTAACATTTGTTAAAACAAGATGCTTTCTACGAAAACAAACGCGACGCTGGGCGACGCAATACATCAAACAGCGATAACTCTGCTAAACCCGGGGCTTACGAGAGCGTAATCATATTTCACTCATATTCCGGTCCAATCTTTTATCAACATTCGATTCAAAAATCGCGCTGATACCCTCACAACTCGATACAGAAACATTAAAATCGATTTACGGACGTTTTTCCATGACACGGTGACAATCCGACATCCTCGCCTATCCGATTCAATTTCCCACATTATCTATATAATAAATTGTACCTGAGCATGCACATAGCTTTCGACCGAAACGTTTGCAGTTATCGTTTGCAGCTCCTGCCATTTATCTTGGCGTTAATTGTTAAACCCGAAACGGGAGGGTAATGTGAGTGCGGGACTTACAGTAACATTGGCCGAAATTTGCTAAAGATAAACTAAAAACGGCGGCTCTGTCATACTACGACAATAACCTCAGCGGTTGACTACAAATCTGGTGATATAACCGAAAAGGGGCTCGTGGCCAAGGCACGGGCGAACGCGATTTGGAAAGTTAGTAGTACTAACTCTTATAAGATTTTTCGGAAAGAAAAGAAAAGAAGAACCCGTGCCATAGAGCCATGCTTCGGCACGAATGGGTCATCTCGACCAGAGTGATACCACGGCCTCACAGATAATATAACCGGCGTGAAAGAGTCACAGCGTTGCGTTTCGCCATGTGAGTGAAGTTACCGGAGGCCTAATCCTTTCGCTCCCCCACATCTCCTAAATGCCGTCAACGCACTTGTTCAAACGATTTTTTGCTCATATAGATATCACTGTTAATCTATACCTAACTCTCAACAAAACATTCTAAAAATAGAACTCGCGACCTCTCCTCTGCGGGGCCGTATTTACGGGGCACGTGCAAAAATGTCCCCTATCCGACCGGCATTATTCACCCTATCTACCTGCTAATGCCGCCTATAAATATTGCATATGATAGCTATTGCGGCTAACTTGCCCGCTGTACATTATCTCGAGCCGAGGTTCGGTCGAGTGGACCGTGTTTGTAGTAATCTCTACTCAACCACGTGTTTACATTTTTGTACACGGACTTCGAAGTTAGATACTTAGATTAGTCTTTGGGCATTACCTTAGTTAGTTGTAGGTCTGTGGCTTCGGTCTGAGCATATCGATTCATCAAAAGACACATTACAAGGAATCGCCCGTCATAACACCATGGTTTGTCTATAAATCAATTGCATACGTATTAACTAGTGCTCACTAGTATCTGGTTACGTTGACGTCGCATGTCTTATTGAACACAAACTTCTATGTTACACCACAGACAACATGATTGCTTTACTCGATTCCTAGTATCCTACAATTTACCATACATATTCAGTTTATATCATTCGCCCACTTAGGAACAATAAATAACAAAATAACCAAAACAACGTAACGCCTGACGTATTTTACTTAGCAATTTCTTTAGCGCCTAACATAATTAAATAGCAAGAATACGCACTGTTGTGTCAGCTAAAATATTAATTTGTTGCTATGTCATTATCGATACTTGATGTAACGAAATATTAAGCTGGCTTGGACTGTTTGATTGCCTATTATGAACTAAATTGTATAATTAAGGAGAAATAATTGGCTGTCTAATTGCCGGTGTCGCGTACAACGATTGTTATGATTACACTTTATATTTAGCTCCGTTTATCCATATTTATTTTATGGTATATTTGCTTTTTTATTTATTCAACTTATTATTTTTGTTTTTTAATTATAGGATTAGACGCTGGGACTGTCCTAATTCATATTAAATTATTTCAAATAAAATTAAATACAATAAGAAAACTTAATGTTATATTATATATTTAAATTGTTATGCTTCATTTTTAGAATGGTTATAGTAAAGAACCTTAGGCTGCTTATAGCGTGGTTCATAAAGAACAATACAGGTTATCTAAAACTTTAATATAATAAGCATTAGGAATAGCACCCGCGGGGAGCAGTAAATATATAAACTTGTATATAATCAGTAATTAATTACAACTCGAGCAATCCTAAACAATAACTAATATTGATTAGGTACCGATCTATGTAATTACTGGGCTTGTGTAGTCTGAACACTATGTACAAGTGATGTATGTAGGTACGTATGTACGTACAGTTAATTGAGAGGTGATTGATTAAGGCTAATTAGTAATTACGAGTAAGTCTAGATCAGGTGGCGTGATTAGCCAGTGCATCTGATATGTTATGAATTATGATTTACTCATTGTATTGGTATTGTCTTATTAAAGTGTTGCTTGATGTATGGATTCAGGCGGTTAATGAAGTTGTTATTGTCTAGAATAAGATTGCTTCTATGGGATGTTGTGAAGAAAAGATGGATCGTCCAAAATGAATCCTGCAAACTGCTGATTTGGTGATGGTATGGTATCCATAGGTGGCGAAATAGATGACGTAAGCGCGTTTGCTCTACCCCATTTAAATGGAATTGATATACCTACAATGAGCTGGTTTTCATGGCATAATACAGCAACTGAGCGTCTGCTCATGACCTGAAGGTAAGCAATCGGCGACGTCCATGGCAACACTACCACTACCAAAGTAGTTACAGGTGTGTCACCGTTTTTATGTGGATTATTGTAGATTTGAGGATTGGGGGTTAAAAAAAGACTGGGCCCTGGGTCCATTCATACGACGAAACACAAAGCAAGCAATGAGGCACCGCGACCTTGGCCCAGAGCAGGAGTAGGAACGGGGGGGCTTTTAGTCAGTAAGAGTCTGATACTCTCTCTCGCCTTACCCTGGGCGGGAGAAGTCATTGGAAGATTTTCCCCTGACACAAAATTGCGACATAAGGACTATATAAAATCTATTTACTCACTGCGCAGTATTAATAAATAGTACATG